AAGGCAACAAAAGAGGAAAAATGCCAAGAGGGGTGAATACTTTCGCAAGCCACTGTAATCACTGGCCAGTACAGAGAATTAAGTCCAAATCCCTATTTCCGTTGTGTCCTCCTCCCAGAGTGCGAAGAGCCTTGGCGTGACCCTGGACAACACCCTGTCGTTCTCCGCTAACATCAAGGCGGTGACCCGATCCTGTAGGTTCATGCTCTACAACATTCGGAGAGTACGACCCTGCCTTACACAGGAAGCGGCACAGGTCCTAATCCAGGCACTTGTCATCTCCCGTCTGGATTACTGCAACTCGCTGTTGGCTGGGCTCCCTGCCTGTGCCATTAAACCCCTACAACTCATCCAGAATGCCGCAGCCCGTCTGGTGTTCAACCTTCCCAAGTTCTCTCACGTCACCCCGCTCCTCCGCACACTCCACTGGCTTCCAGTTGAAGCTCGCATCTGCTACAAGACCATGGTGCTTGCCTACGGAGCTGTGAGGGGAACGGCACCTCCGTACCTTCAGGCTCTGATCAGTCCCTACACCCAAACGAGGGCACTGCGTTCATCCACCTCTGGCCTGCTGGCTTCCCTACCTCTGCGGAAGCCAGCAGGCCCGCTCGTTCCCGCTCAGCCCAGTCAAAACTGTTCGCTGCTCTGGCACCCCAATGGTGGAACAAGCTCCCTCACGACGCCAGGACAGTGGAGTCACTCACCACCTTCCGGAGACATTTGAAACCCCACCTCTTTAAGGAATACCTGGGATAGGATAAAGTAATCCGTCTGGATTACAGGAAAGCCATGGATTACAGGAAACATCCGCACTGAGCTAAAGGGTAGAGCTGCCGCTTTCAAGGAGCAGGACTCTAACCCGGACGCTTATAAGAAATCCCGCTATGCCCTCCGAAGAACCATCAAACAGGCAAAGAGTCAATACAGGACTAAGATTGAATCGTACTACACCGGCTCTGACGCTCATCGGATGTGGCAGGGCTTGAAAACTATTACAGACTACAAAGGGAAGCACAGCCGTGAGCTGCCCAGTGACACAAGACTTCCAGACAAGCTAAACCACTTCTATGCTCGCTTCGAGGCAAGCAACACTGAAGCATGCATGAGAGCACCAGCTGTTCCGGATGACTTTGTGATCACGCTCTCCGTAGCCGATGTGAGTAAGACTTTTAAGCAGGTCAACAATCACAAGGCCGCAGGTCCAGACGGATTACCAGGACGTGTACTCCGAGCATGTGCTGACCAACTGGCAAGTGTCTTCACTGACATTTTCAACATGTCCCTGACTGAGTCTGTAATACCAACATGTTTCAAGCAGACCACCATAGTCCCCGTGCCCAAGGACTCTAAGATAACCTGCCTAAATAACTACCGACCCGTAGCACTGACGTCTGTAGCCATGAAGTGCTTTGAAAGGCTGGTCATGGCTCACATCAACACCATTATCCCAGAAACCCTAGACCCACGCCAATTTGCGAACCGCCCCAACAGATCCACAGATGATGCAATCTCTATTGCACTCCACACTGCCCTTTCCCACCTGGACAAGAGGAACACCTACGTGAGAATGCTATTCATTGACTACAGCTCAGCATTCAACACCATAGTGCCCTCAAAGCTCATCACTAAGCTAAGGATCCTGGGACTAAACACCTCCCTCTGCAACTGGATCCTGGACTTCCCGACGGGCCGCCCCCAGGTGGTAAGGGTAGGTAACAACACATCTGCCACACTGATCCTCAACACGGGGGCCCCTCAGGGGTGCGTGCTCAGTCCCCTCCTGTACTCCCTGTTCACCCATGACTGCATGGCCAGGCACGACTCCAACACCATCATTAAGTTTGCCGACGACACAACAGTGGTAGGCCTGATCACAGACAACGATGAGACAGCCTATAGGGAGGTGGTCAGAGACCTGGCCGTGTGGTGCCAGGATAACAACCTCTCCCTCAACGTGACCAAGACAAAGGAGATGATTGTGGACTACAGGAAAAAAAAGAGGACTGAGCACGCCCCCATTCTCATCGACGGGGCTGTAGTGGAACAGGTTGAGAGCTTCAAGTTCCTTGGTGTCCACATCACCAACGAACTATCATGGCCCAAACACACCAAGACAGTCGTGAAGAGGGCACGACAAAGCCTATTCCCCCTCAGGAGACTGAAAAGTTTTGGCATGGGTCCTCAGATCCTCAAAAATGTCTACAGCTGCACCATCGAGAGCATCCTGACTGGTTGCATTACCGCCTGGTATGGCAACTGCTTGGCCTCCGACCGCAAGGCACTACAGAGGGTAGTGCGTATGGCCCAGTACATCACTGGGGCCAAGCTTCCTGCCATCCAGGACCTCTATACCAGGCGGTGTCAGAGGAAGGCCCTCAAAATTGTGAAAGACTCCAGCCACCCTAGTCATAGACTGTTCTCTCTGCTACCGCACGGCAAGTAGTACCGGAGTGCCAAGTCTAGGTCCAAAATACTTCTCAACAGCTTCTACCCCCAAGCCATAAGACTCCTGAACAGCTAATCATGGCTACCCGGACTATTTGCACTGCCCCCCCCCCACCCCATCTTTTTACGCTGCTGCTACTCTGTTAATTATTTATGCATAGTCACATTAACTCTACCCACATGTACATATTACTTCAACTACCTCAACTAGCCAGTGCCCCCACACATTGACTCTGCACCGGTACCCCCCTGTATATATAAGCCTCCCTACTGTTATTTTATTTTACTTCTGCTCTTTTTTTCTCAACACTTTTTTGTTGTTTTATTCTACTTTTTTATTAAAAATAAACGCACTGTTGGTTAAGGGCTGTAAGTAAACATTTCACTGTAATGTCTGCACCTGTTGTATTCGGCGCATGTGGCCAATAACATTTGATTTGAAATGCTCGCTGGCTTCCCTTGCCTATAATACTATGGGCGGCAACAATGTAATACTCGTTTGGACCAGACAGCATCAGATAGATGGCCTACACATAGAGAGACATAGAGGCGCTGTTTCGATCGCTCGGATGCTTTTTCCTGTGAGATACATTCAGCCTCTAGTGAATTGAAGGACAATTATGAAACACAGAGGGACGAAAGAAAGATTATTTTATATTTGGTAATTTTGCATTGGCCAATTTCTTTGGGAAGCCTGGCTCCCCTTGGCATCCACGAATACATGCCACTGTTAAGCCCCCCGTTACACCCGTGTCTCGCTTGTTTTGGTCGCTTCAACTCTACATTCCTTAAAGTCCGCTGGACACTTACCGTGTTCTCAACAGGCTGAACCATGATCGCGAGAATAATCCTTACTGTAAGAATGCCACTTACAGTGCTTAGTATCATGATTGATTAAATTATTATTGCCCCTTTAAGATCTTGAGAAAAAGTCCATATAATACTGAAGAGAATGCTCGAATTACTGCCCCGACCGGAAGATCAATGCTCGTTTTCTGGAAACGCTTAGTGTTTGAGGAAACAGGGCGTCTTTCTACTTTCAGCAGTTATCAATTTGGTAACGGAAATACGACTTCTAATCACTTAATAATTCATAAACAAAATGGACATCTTATTGGTAGGTCTACCATCAAATCTAAAACCAAATCAAATCGACTACTTACGGGTCTTTTCCAACAATGTAGAGTTAAAGATAAAGATACAATTCAAATATAAGGAGTGACACTAGGAATAAATACTTGTTACTTCTGTGAACTTTCATTATCCTCCCTCCTCATGAGGGAGATAAATTAGAAAATATCTTAAAGATACAGTATGTGGGTTTTTGGTAACGGAATTACAAGGCACAAGACAATATTTCTTAAACGTACAGAAGGTAAACAAATTCTCCAAAACTAAATATGTGTTTATATTAGTTGGGGTCTTTATGTCAACATTATTGTGTTTTGATGTATTTCTGATACCTTTTAAGACTTTTTCTAGTAGATGTTTTCTAAGACCCCTTTTCCATCGGTTTGTCCAGAAATCAAAGCCTTTACTTATGCCTAGTTTTTAAGATGGAAAATGGTTGAAAAATGTATCTATGCCTTCACTTCCCAAAAATTTAGACTCTGAGCTTTCATTTGATACCCAATTTGATTTGCTCCTATTTCTGTCAAGGAACAGACTGGAAAAGATTGTTATGTCTATTATCAAATCATCTTTCACCCATATAGTTTCACCTCACAGTTTCAGACATTTTGCAGGTTACTGTATAGCAATGTCTTGAACATAAATTCACAGAACAATGCTTGTGACCAGATGTAGGCTACTGATAACATAGCAATTATATGCGGCTTCATGTCTGCAAATGTGGATCATTTTATTTGAAAGATAACTTTTTGGGGATTTATTATTATTGCTCTGCCCTGTAAGAGGACATTAAGGCAGTAGCCTTGTAAAGTTGTACAGTAACATGTCAAATCCTTCCCACATCATGTGATGCTGTCATTCAAATGATTCAAATGAAAATATGCCCTATGCTGAACATAGCTATGTTTGAGTATAAATTGCCCAGACAGTCCATGTATTACTTCACAATGCAAATGGTATGCTCTTTACACCCCAACACCCTACTTGTATCATGGTTATTGAAGTTACTTCACACCTCATATGAAATGCTTGTCTTTGCAGTTTCTGTGGTTGATACAGGCAGTTTAATTTGAGCAGAACGCTGAGGGCAGATCTCACAGTCTGGCGCCATTGTGAACATGTACCCTAGCATGGGAAACTACAATTCACAGCGTCATCACCCCATATCAAACAGAACACACCTTCCTCTCACGTACCCTCCCAGCACTGCTGCTGTGAAGTAAGACCATAACATACAGTTCAAACAGTTGTCACTCTTTAATAATAGAAGACCCATAGACCCCAGTGGATTTTGCAATTCAGTCTTTACAGTAGCAAATAATATTAAGTCTCCACTCTCCTAGAGATGGTATGATATTGACTGAACTTGCTCCCCCTCATACTCTTCCCTATATTAATCCTCAATTTCCTATTTTTTGTAGTTTTCAATTGCTGGTGGCTGGGACAGGGTAGCTCAGCTCTTTGCTGGTGGCTGGGACGGGGTAGCTCAGCTCTTTGCTGGTGGCTGGGACGGGGTAGCTCATTCTCTCTGGCCCCAGAGCGGGGGCCCCAGGGAGGGGGCAGGAGGACTCCTGCTGGGGTGTGCTGGTGAGGGGACAGCCCTCTCCTCCACTCTCCCCTTGATCCTCCTCCCTCCCTGATTTGTTGGATCCCAGGACAACCGTCCCTGGAGAGTAGATGTATATGGACCCTGAATCAAACACCAACAAGCACAAACATTATTAGATGAAATTATTGAAACAGGTGACACACAAATTCATATCTATTATGAACAGTAAATGCTGATATAAAACCTGGTGGACTTGGTAGTGTAATAAATTAACAATATGACAGAGAGGAAGTGAAAAGCTGGCCTCACTCACCAGCATATGCTTCTGTTTTTGTGTGCATGATTCTGGTTTCCTGTATCTTCACTAAATTAACCTCTGACACTGATGTACAATATACACTGCAGCACTGCATTGATGCTACTGTGTCTTGGAAGGGAAACGTTAACAGGAAGTTCAAACTAGAAGAAGTATGTCTCAACTCCCGACCAAAGAAAACAACTGGAAGGGGAAATGTGAACTCGGACGCAAGTTTAAAAAATAAAACTCACTTCCTTGCAAAGAACATTGAGTCACAAACATTTTCCAGACCTGAGTTTTCCCGGACCTATAGGCCAAGGGTATTCAACGCTTACCCTATGAGGTCCGGAGCCTGCTGGTTTTCTGTTCTACCTGATAATTAATTGCATCCACCTGGTGTCCCAGGTCTAAATCAATCCCTGATTAAAGGGGAACAATGAAAAAAAGGTCCAGCGTTTCGAGGTCCAGAGTTGAGTCTGAGGGCTCTAGGCCCTAGTTATCGGACAATGTAGCAGAAAATATGTCAGGCCAAATGCGGCTGTACAGCACGCAAACATAAGATACAGTGTAATAATATGACATTCATGCAGTTTAAAAATATCAGTTACAGTGCAAAGCGATGCACTACACCTACCCACTATGTTGCTAATGTTTTCTCCTCCAGAGTGGTCCACTGTGACATGCTGCATGCCCCCTGGAGGTTGCGACCCTGTACACTCCAGTCTAGGATCTCCCCCAGTCTCCCTCCCCAGAAGATGCTGGGCCTCTAGGTGTGGGATTCTCTCCTGTGGCAGCTGGGCCTGCTTATAGGAAGCCGTCTGTAGGGCAGCAGGACAAGGCTGGCACTCCCACGCTTTGTAGCTCCCTCTTAGAACTTCCATACAAATCTGGACGTCCTAACGGTAGAGAAGTCGACATGTAAGTCGCTCTGGATAAGAGCGTCTGCTAAATGACTAAAATTTAAATGTAAATTTATACTTCTAGTAACAATGGACAGTAGTTCTATTCATACTTTACGCAAATAGAGATTAAGTTCTGTACTCACATATTTCCCAAATATTGGACCTAAAGGAATCAAAATTATCTTTATAAGTGGTCAAGTATTTGACTCTGAGTATAAAAGTAATTCAAATGCATTGTTTTTCACATTTGTATACACACAATGTTTCACTGTCTCCCCCTGCAGGGGAGAATAGGTGGTGTTAGCGTTAGCTTTGTCAATAATTGTGTGTATTTATCTACTTACTGTGTCTTATAGAAAAATTCCATGCATCACTGCATATGTGTTTGTGTTATCTAACCACTTTACTCGCTCACCTTTCCACTTGTGCATGGACTCCAGTGACCTCCCCCTACACACGACAAAGTAACCAACCAGCAGCAGAACCACCCCTAGGAGCCCAACTATCAGCAGCAGCCAAGGGGGACTGGGAGGGCTCTGTCCAGAGGCTGGGGCTGGGAGATGAGGTGAGTCTGGGGTGAACAGAGAGAAAGTACTGTATCATTGTTATGGAAAGGCAGAGACAGAAGCAGGCTGCCTGTAGTGGTTTACCATGTCAGTGTTATGTTACTTTCACTGAATATAACAGATCCTTTAAGGGCCTACACTAACTACAAATTAATTTCTGAAATAATTATGAATTGTCACATCTAGTAGAAATTGAGAGAGGGGATACTCTAGTCTTTTGATAACTATACCATTGTCTTCTGTGGTAAGAGGGGGCGCAGAGGCAGACTCTGCAGGTGAGGTGTCACTGTCCATCTTGCGGGGCTTTCTCCTGGTGGTGAGCTTTGTTGGGAGGGAGGTGGAGGGGTCGCTCCTGGCTTGGGACAGATAGGACCTGGTGAGAAAGGCTGGTGAACGGTCTGCAGATTCGTACATTGGGGCTGTAGGATAGGCTGGAATAAATAGAGAATTTGTGTGATTAAATGACAGGATAACATCATGGGACAGTGAGACCTCTAGTGCTTGACTGGTGAAGCTTGTTAAAGAGCTCCAGGGGACAGAGCAGGAAATGCTTGGATTTCCCTCAAGTATGAGAACGTTTTCCTAAGAGCCATACCCTCAGGAGACCTAACCAGTCGAGATGGGGGAGATGGGGATCCCACGATGAGGAGTTTTCTGTTGGTGCTGACTACACTGGATGTAGCAGAATGAAGGGCCATCTCTGAGCTGTGAACAGGTGGAGGTGCAGTAGTTGTAGGAGAGGTGGGGGAAGTCTGGGCACACACACGATCCTGAGAGGCAGTCCCCTCTGTTATCATGGTCATTCCCTTATGGCCACAACTGGTAGGAGAGAAGCCAGGAGATAACTTGTTATCTAAATGAGAAAGTACAGTGTTGGATACTACTAGTACTAATAATCATTTCATTTACTGTAAAAGTAGTAGTTTCAAATGACTCAAAAATCCAGTAGAGGGAGCTACAGTTTCATATTTTAGATATTTATAGGTAGACAACATGTGAATCAGTACAGTGCATTTGGTGCTCAGCACCAGTGTTCTGTAGCTGTGGACTCACTCTGTGTGGGGTTTGCAGGACATGGCTAGGTTTGGTGTGTTGGAGAAGGTGCCGGGCGGGCACGGTTTACACCTCCTGCAGGTATACTGGGCAGTGCTGGCACAGAAAAAGCCCCTGTCACAGTGGCACTCACGGTTTGAGTCCCAGCGGCATTCCTTCACCTGTGTCAAGTGCTGATCAACTTTTCCCACAAACAAATACAAGACACACAAACACCCACGAACACACAAATTATCAATGAGACATTTGCTCTGAATATGTTTATCCACTCTAATCAACTAAAGTAAAATAACGATAGCATTTTATATGAAACTATTGTTACCATACTGTATTTCCTTGAGATAAACAATATATTATGGGTATGATGTCTATTGTGTAGAGGAATGAACTAACAAAATGTAATGCCTAAATCAAAAAGTTACCTGAGCAGAATTCAGTGCAGAAGTCACACTTAGGATGGCCATTCTGCTTGTACCAGTAGTAGCCATCGGGACAAGGGACACACTTACACTTGTTAATGATCAAGCCTACAAACACAAATGACAGGGAGGTGTTCACATTTGTATTTGTATTTGTATTTATTATGGATCCCCATTAGCTGCTGCCAAGGCAGCAGCTACTCTTCCTGGGGTCCAGCTAAATTAAGGCATTAATACAATTTTAAAACATTACAATACATTCACAAATTTCTGAACACACTGTGTGCCTTCAGGCCCCTACTCCACCACTACCATATATCTACAGTTCAAAAATCCATGTGTACGTGTGTGTATAGTGCGTATGTTATCGTGTGTGTGTATGCATGTGTCTGCGCCTATGTTTGTGTTGCTTCACAGTCCCCGCTGTTCCATAAGGTGTTTTTTAATCTGTTTTTTACATCTAATTTTACTACTTGCATCAATTACTTGATGTGGAATAGAGTTCAATGTAGTTATGGCTCTATGTAGTACTGTGCGCCTCCCATAGTCTGTTCTGGACTTGGGGACTGTGAAGAGACCTCTGGTGGCATGTCTTGTGGGGTATGCATGGGTGACCGAGCTGTGCGCCAGTAGCTCAAACAGACAGCTCGGTGCACCCAACATGTCAACACCGCTCATAAACACAAGTAGTGATGAAGTCAATCTCTCCTCCACTTTGAGCCAGGAGAGATCGACATGCATATTATTAATATTAGCTCTCTGTGTACATCTAAGGGCCAGCCGTGCTGCCCTGTTCTGAGCCAATTGCAATTTTCCTAAGTCCTTTTTTGTGGCACCTGACCACACGAATAAACAGTAGTCCAGGTGTGACAAAACTAGGGCCTGTAGGACCTGCCTTGCTGATAGTGCTGTTAAGAAGGTAGAGCAGCGCATTATTATGGACATACTTCTCCCCATCTTAGCTACTGTTGTATCAATATGTTTTGACCATGACAGTTTACAATCCAGGGTTACTCCAAGCAGTTTAGTCACCTCAACTTGCTCAATTTCCACATTATTTATTACAAGATTTAGTTGAGGTTTAGGGTTTAGTGAATGATTTGTCCCAAATACAATGCTTTTAGTTTTAGAAATATTTAGGACTAACTTATTCCTTGCCACCCACTCTGAAACTAACTGCAACTCTTTGTTAAATGTTGCTGTCATTTCAGTCGCTGACATATATAGTGTTGAGTCATCCGCATACATAGACACACTGCATTTACTCAAAGCCAGTGGCATGTCATTAGTAAAGATTGAAAAAAGTAATGGGCCTAGACATATCAACATCCTGATTACACACTCATTCCTTCCCTGACTCTTTCTCTCTCTCAGTGCATTGTCACTTTAGTAAGTACAATGGGTTCACTGAAGTTAGGAGCCAGGAATGGAAGAAAATGATTCCTCAAAGACTGTTCTGAATGTGGAGTTGCCTGCGAACCACAACCACTCTTTCCTTTTAAAGATACAATATGCAGACATCGCTCTGCCAGTTCCTCGTTACTAAAATTATAATTGTTCGCCTAATTTCAGTTTATGTGACAAAACAAGCAAGTATAGTGTAGAGAATCATTGTACCATCTAAACTGCTGTGAAATATATTTTCAATAACCCCAAATATTGTATTTTCAGCTGTTTGAAGCTGGTGTACAATACCGAAAGTAAAAGATGCAAAAACGAAACTTAAGAACGGGAAGCATAGAAATAGCTACATAGAACATATCTACCACTTCTTAGACTTGCTTTCAATGAGAATGACAGATCTATAACTCACATTCTATGTGAATTTGTTGGGGTCGCCCAAAAAGTTACATATTACAGCTTGAAAGGATAGTCACTCATGATAGAATACTGTATAATATGTCTGACGCCAGCAACACGTCATTTTACTGATTGTGTCATAAGGAAGTGTTCTGTGGTATGTGCAACAACTTAGGATGAAAAAGGAAGTTGAAGAGTAAGTACTTAAATTAGTCTCTGTTAGACAGTACACACACAGAGCCGGTGACATGTTGCCTTTGCAAGTTTATCCAAAATTATTAAAACATCCGAACCAATGTCAGTCATCTAGTGTATACAGTATATAAATCATTGTAGCCACAGTAGATGTAGTATGCTAATGTTAACTAACTGGCAGGTAGCTTAGTGGGTAAGAGCGTTGTGCCAGTAACCGAAAGGTCGCTGGTTCTAATCCCCGAGCCGACAAGGTGAAAAATCTGTCGATGTGCCCTTAAGCAAGGCACTTAACCCTAATTGCTCATGTAAGTCGCTCTGGATAAGAGCGTCTGCTAAATGACTAAAAAATATTTAAAAAAATAAATAAAATAAAGTAAGTTAGGCTAGCAAGTATTTTAGCCAGGTAGCGTAGGACAACAAAAGATTAATGCGTGTACTGTATGACAGTCATAGACCGTTAAGTCAATATGAAAGAGGAGGATGGCGTTGGCGTTTCTCTACAAGTAGGGTGAGTCAGCATGTTTTTTCTACCTTCACGCACGGACATACACAGGCACACAGAAATCAGTACCATGGACAGCCACATCATATTTAGCTTACGTTGATTGGACTAAATCGTTTTTGGTATGTTTTAGTTTTCACCGTATTAGACTAAGCATAGATGATGTTGAAATGTTGAAGTTGAAATGGTTCTGGAATAGTGGAGGCAGCTCCTGTTTTCTTTGCGACTTGCGGTAACTCCGTGGTTCTAAATCAATAGCTCTGATTGACCATGCTGTAGGTCGTGTAACTGTTTGTTACATGCAATTTGTTTTGTGGACTTCACCGGACATATGTTGCTCTCCGGTTTTGGAATGAAACAAATGTGTGGTTGAATTTATTCTGCCACTGTGTATTCTTATTGTCTCGGTTTTAGGACTATATATCACGGTGTCAAGGCATATGAAATTAAACTAACACGTTATTGAGCAAACAACGCAATTATCACAACACATTTTACCCACGCACCGCTACTGTTTATTAGGCTAAAGATGAAATACCTGATTATGAACTTCACAAGGTGGTGAAAGTGCACGTGGTGATTAATGCTCCTTTCCAATAAATATCGAGGGCCTTATTCTGGAGACATGATTATCGATGCTTGGCTGCTTTTTGACAAATAAAAATAATATCGCTCTTTCATCCATAATAATGTCATCATGTAGGCTACATGTGTCAAACTAATTCCACGGAGGGCTGAGTGTCTGCAGGTTTTCGTTCCACCCTTGTACTTGATTGATGAATGAAGGTCACAAATTAGTAAGGAACTCCCCGCACCTGTTTGTCTAGGTCTTAATTGAAAGGAAAAACCAAAAATCCGCACACACAGTCGTCCCTCCGTGGAATGAGTTTGACACCCCTGATGTAGGCTATCCTACCCGCACTGTTTCTGCGAGCTGAGCTGTTGGCTAGAGCGCATGTAACCAAGATCAGAGTGGGCACATTTCCAATATAAGGCAAACCATTTTTTTACTAAATCATCACTTTTTTTTTTTTTTTTTTTTTTTACAAAACCAATAGTAGAGTTGAAAATGCGATGGAAACCCATTAAACTTGTATTCTTTATTTGGTACATGGGCATTTAACCGCAAAAGTTATGTTTATGTGCACCACGTCATCACGCACAGCCTTTTATCCGCAACTGGTCAATTTGATGGAAACATCTCTGGTGGGAAAATGCGCATATTGTTTTTATGCGGATTTTAGAATATTCGCATGAAAATCTGTCGCCAAGTAGATGGACACCTAGCTACTGTGAGACAAGTATAATATTTCACCCCACTTTTACACTCTAGTTCAGGGGGGGAAGCTGATGACTTTACCTGAGTCACAGGTACGAGGACAGCTAGACAACAATACAGAGCATACCTGGGAGAGAGAGAGAGAATATTTTTCATTAGAATAATCATTATTTTATTTCGCAACAACAGGATATTCCAGTTCCCAGAGTGAACGTCAGCTATGACGAACATTGCACGCACGATTGCACGATGGAAATGCCAAGGCCATCTCACACTTATCTACACTACACCTACAGTTCCTGCCAAAACCACAGACCAAACAGTATCCAGTTCAGAAAACCGTGACCAGTCACAGAATGTACCAACAAAAACCTGGCAAAACCACCCACACAAACAAACCAACAAAATATTGGTAAAAAACAAAAACATTAATAGTATTTTAATACTAATTATTATTAATAGTATAGTATTATTTGACTAAATGGACAAATTCCAAAGGGTCAACTTGAGGTCCACATTCAAGTTCATGTTGACAAATACTAAGCTTATTATGGCTGTAGGCTACTGGCAATCAAAACAGTCGGCCAAATCAATAATAGTGCTGTCATAAGTTCACTTTTTGTTAAGCACCAAAATAACAACTACACAATTTAAACTCTTATATTAACAGTTATTACAGATTTATAAGCTTTCTAAATCTGTCGATAAACCCTAGTGTTAACTAACATGTTATGAGAGCATTCTTGATTTCAGTGGATGACCTGCTCTACATATAACTATGCACAATACCAGAATTACTTTTTACTGGCAGTATAGGACCAATTACCACCAGGCCTCGCTAGGGTTATGGTTAAAACGGTTTCAGTTCCTGTAAGAACAGAGCGCTAACTAGTCATTTCTTTCTTGTTGACTCCATGTTTTAATAATGGAAAGTAGCCTGCAGGTATCAACTGAGAGAGAAGAGTGTTAAGTTTCAGAATAATGGTTATACTGCAATTTGTAACAATATAAAATGTGATAGACTACTGTAACTGTAAGTATAAAATATTTATTATAAACACAGATAATAACACCAATAACAACAATCATAGTAACATATCATAAACAACCACCATCATCATCTCCACAATAATCATAAACATGTAATCATAATAATTGTCTAGGTCTCTCATCATCCTCCTCATTAAAAATACAATTACATTAGGTCTACCTAAACTAAACCCAATCGCATCTGTAAAACATACAGTAGGCTAGGCTACTCACCAGATT